ACACTGCAATAGAGGAGGTCTAACTGCCTCCTATATTTTCCTAGCTAGCATAAATACAACAACCAGTTCTTTTGGATGATATGTTGAAAGAAGGGAGAGAGGCTGTACCACTACTTTCTTTCTTTCTTTCTTTCTCCTCACAACACACCAAAAAATTAATAATCTCTTGACAAAAGAGCTGCCATTGTGGATCAAGCAGGGCAGGGAGGGGTAGAATAATACTCCTTTTATTCCTCCCCACCACACTGGCCACATAAATGGGAACAAGATATGATCTAGTGTTTGAAATTAATCTCCACCCATAAATTCTTTTAAAAAACCACATTCCTTTAGGTCTTTTATTCTTTTAGATTTGTACAAAATATTTCAGCATAAGCCACTATTTTCAGCATCCTGGAAAACAGAATGTAAGAGAGAGAAGAAAAAAAGAGAAATCATTATTTCAAGAGATTTCCATGACATACGGTTTTCATTTATTAAAAAGAACATTTCACACATAACAGAAAGAGAATCATGTTGAAATGTAGTTTTCAATTGATTACTTTTAAAACTCTGTTGTCTGATCTCCAAATGGTGCCAAAAATATAATCAGCTTTCATCTACTGGCAGTAATTGCTCTGGGTTATTTTTTGGGATTGCGTAAGTTCCTTTAACTGATTTTTTTTTTTTTAACTACTTATATTGACCCAATATGTGAAAAATGAACTGCTGACTAACAGAAGATATTACAGGTCCTTGATTCACACATTGTGCTATGACAACACTGGCAAACACTGATGTGAGTGCATTAGTGACAATGATGTGATTAGCTCTGAATACCAGTGCTAAAGCATTCCCACAAAAGTCAAAGTCTTGAAGATTCATTGATTATCACATGTCAAAACCTGACATTGCCAAAAGATGTGGAAAAAAAGTGGAGAGACTATATACACAGGATTAACAAGCTAAACCCATGAGTCACATGAGAATGACTAAGTTCATGGTGTTGAAAATGTATTTTAAATATTCATTCAAATTAAATTTCCAATTTCTCATGAAGACTTGCTTTGGGCATCAGGGTTAAATTCAGTTTAAATTCAAAGCCCTTACCATTTTCTGATCTAAGCATTCAATTTAATACAGTTTTTACATAATTAATTTTGAAAATTCTGGTCACTAAATAAAACTATTTCTTAACTATATCAGCATTCAATTTAATATGTACATGTATGAATGTTTAAAAAAAAATTTTAAAACCCACATGCTCTCACAGCCTGCTCCTACCAAATACTCCATATGGACAAATAATATTTGGATATTACCAGTACACAGACATAAATTACTGCCAAAATTTTCCCCCAGCTCTTCAAAGAAGTAAGCTTAACAAAACATCTAAAATGGAAATGGGAAAACTCCATTTTTATGCAATAATTAGATTTTTAAGTATAACAGTCTCATGTTATTAAAATAAATTGATACTAATTACCAAAAATAAGCCTGAAATGCATTCACCAGCTACTGCAGTCTCATCTCAATCTTACATGCAGGTAAAAGAAAACCCAAACACTTTTTTATCAGCAGCTTTTCCTTAATACATAGTTCTATATTTGCATAGGTTTGCATATCCTTAAGTACTACATACATAAGTACTTGTATTTAATGCCTAACTCTTACTGAATATGCTACATTTACTATACAAAGGTGAGATTTTGTTTTTTCAAGAAGAGTGATGAATCACATACTTTTAGAAGGCTCTTGTAGAAGATTATCATTCAAAATCTACCTGAAATTTTCACATATCAAACAAAGTTACAAGCAGAAAGTTTGCATCCTATCCTAGAAGAATTGGTCAGAAAAAATTGGTCAGGTAGCATAGTTCAGACAATGGCCAAATAAAATAGTAAAGTTAAGGAATCCCTGAAAAACATCAGTTATAACAAAAAGTTCTGGTTGAAACAAACAATTTATCTGCATGTGCAGGTTTTGTAAAAACCTACTCATGGACAAACACATCTGAATCGGAATTTTCATAATGTGCTTAGAATTAAGAAAAATTATTTTTCTATGCATGTTCAATGGCAGTGGTATTCTCACATATTTTACCTGTAATGACCCTGTCTGTACATTGCAAATTTTTGTGGACGTTATTTCAGCTGCATTTTTAAAAAATACTTGCTACAACACTGTTAGTAAGAAAACCAATATGTGCCAATGTCATGTTACCTGTTATTGCTCATTCCTCCCTCTTTAAAGTTTTAAAGATACAAATTAATAAACTTTCCCTCCATGAATGAACATGAAATCTCTCTTTGCTGAGATTTAACACAATCTGAGCCAAACTGGCACCTTCACTGGTAATAATAACATACACCAACAGAAAAAGCTTTAAAATATCCTGTTCCATTTGTCAACAAGTTACATCCACTTTATACTAAGTAAATGTACAGACTTTAGTAAAAGTGGAGCTATACTAATCGACCTAAGTTTGACTTCCTCCTCACCAGTATTTAAAAGTATAGCTTAGAAAGAATTAAAAGGATATGAGGAGTGGCACCTGCTTAATTATAATGTATACATTTGTATCTATTAGTATCTCTACTGCACAAGAAAACTTCAAGACATTTCCATTTGTCGATGAATTCCTGCACTAAACTATGACTGAAAGTATTTTTGCCACATTTTGTTTCCCTATGCAGTTTCATAAACATTATCTAGAGGCTACCATGCAGGTCAATTAAGCACGGCTGAAGTCATCACAATGAAAAAAAACCAAAACATAACATATTGTTCTTCATAATAAAGACAAATAACACCTCCCCATCATAATTAAATAGGCTGTCTAAAGCTGTTTGTCTTTTTTAACATGTGATATGTAAATGAAAGTGATAATCGGCTCATTAAGTTTAAACAAAAGCTACTGTACAACACAATAATGTAAAGGAAAAAAAGGATAAAACTAAGTTCTTAAAGCAGAAAAGTGTATCAAAAGGAAAGAATGCCAAAGAAGGAGATTAGCACTGGTAGCACAGACTGACTAAAGGGGATAGAGAGAGACCAGTAAAGATAATTTAAAATGTTCAAAACGGAATGGTTTTGCAGCAGAAATTGACTATCTGAAATATTTTACACCTCAGTGCCCTCAACACACTCCACCAAAAGCAGGCTCCCAGCCAGACCGCCAGCATCTCTGCCTGGCAGGCTTCCCAGCTCTCTAGGTATCCAGAAAGCTTTCCCTAGAAATTTTGCCCATGGAGCCAGAAAAACAGAGTTCCCAGTGTCTCAAACCTAGAGGTTTCTGCTGGTGATACACACAAGATGTTACATTCTTTTCTTCTGTAGCCAGAAAGATACAACTTCAGCTTCTTACATGTGAGGGACAGGCTTCTCCTACATTATATATGCTATAAATCTGCACATCCTACTAACCTTCTGTAAATTAGTTCCAATTTGAGTTCACTTCATCCCATCATTTGGACAAAAGTAGAAAGATGTGACTTCTGCAGTACCTTCTTTATAGAAAATTAAATCTTCCTATTTGTGGAAATACTGCACTTAATATATTTTAATCTGGCAAGATCTTTACAGGAATTTAATATTAATCTGTCACATCAAACAACATAGCTGAGGCAAAGAACACAAAATATCCTTCCAAACCATATTACTGCATGCTTGAAATTTTAACTACTTTTCTACTAATGTCAGTGAGCCTAAGACACTACCTCATCTTGCAAGTTTTGTCTTCTTTCCAGACTGCCATGGCCACAGGAACACTATTACAGCATCCCAGTAACATCCTTCTCCTCTTCATGACTAAACCACAATGATACCCTGCATTCATCTTGTGATCAACTACATACACATCAATTTATGTGACAATGCCAGCTGGACCAGGGTACACCACACTCTACCCTGCACACGTGCATCTCATTCCATTTACTTACCTCATCAAGCTTTTCCAGTGTGATAATAATTCCCAAATTTCATTTAGTTTGTTGACTCTATTATTATTCACCTACTCATTTGACAAAGTAATTAGCTAAATACTGATGAGATTACACTCAACATTGGTCACAGACAAACTGCTTTAATGCTGAAACACTCTCTTTCAGGACCCTCTGAAGTCACTCTCTTAGCTTATCAAAAAAAATAAAAAAATAATGTCGGTCATCTGAAGAAAGCCCTGTTGCCAATGGGGAGTTCTACTCTTAACACATCTCCCAAAGTTCAATTGGCCTCTGACCCCTGAAAGTTAGGTGCTCCTACAAAACTTCCCCTTTCTCTCTCTTGACTTTCGCATTGCTCTCATGTTCTGGCTGCCTCTTCCAAGAACAGCAGAGCTGGAGTTTTTTAACACCTCTGTGTTACCAAGAAAGGATAACTAGGTCACTTAAAAAAAAATTGTTCATTTGATTAGTCCTTCTTCCTTTCCTTCCTTTTTCCTTTCTACCTTTATGCCTTGTTTGAGGCTACTGAAGTTGCTCAGATGCAGTTTCTTGTGTTGATCAGCATTTTAACCATTTCCCTTGCAATTGCTGTAAAGTCACAATAGCTCAAAGCACAGCATAAGCCTTATTCAAATTACTATATCTGCAATTTTAAGCCTGCTACATATAAATGGTATTATATGGTTACAGAAATCAGTATTTAATATTTTTTCCTGAGATGTGTTCTTGTCATTTCAGAATAATACAGACCATTATGAGATCTCACAGTAAAGAGAAATTTCCGTGACAAGTATGGAACAAGCCAATTACTTGCTCTTAACTTATTTCTCATATTAAACTCAATTAATGTTAGTAAAATTATGTACTGTGAATGACAAAAATGAAATTCACTCAGTGAAAAATTCTGCCAGCAGAAAAGGAATGCATTCTGGTTTCAGATTTAAATAGTACTCTATTATCAGCAAAAATAGCCACATGCAGTATTTATTAATAAGTACATCTCAATGGAAGCCTACAAAATAAAATATACGGCACCTATACATAAAGGAAGAAAAAAATCAAATTAGCATTACTTACTTGATTAAGTATATCTTGTTTCTGCAACACATGCAAGGAAAGAAAGAACATACATACATTAGTGCAGTGTCATAACACCCAAGCTCTGTTATTATAATAGAAATATTTTTAGTGAAAGGTTAGTGATTTAGATGAGCAGGTTTAAGACATTAGATGGACTATCCCATTTTCTTGTGTTAGCTCATAAGTCAAGGAAATGCTTCTAAGTCAGCTCTCTAGTCTTTATTAGACCATGCAAGCAATTTATTTCTAACCGTGCAATGAGAGACTTTAAAGATAGATAAATAAATATAATGTTAGTATTTTTTCCGCATGTACTTTTAAAAAAGCATTAAAAACAAGAAGAGCTGTAAATGAAACTGAATTCAGTTATCAGAACTGAATATTCTAAAATCCAAGTGGAAAAATCTGAAGACAATCCTCAGTGCCACTACATGACACATACAGGAGCACCAGGGGATCAGGCCAGGCCAGCAGGAGTTTCATAAAGGCAGATCCCGCTTGACTCCTGGGTCCTTGACACCTAAACCCCTTCTATGACAAGGTGACCTGCTTAGTACATGAGCATACTGTCTACCTGGACTTCTGTAGAATCGTTATCATCAAGGCTGGAAAAGACCTCTAAGGTTTTTAGTATGTCCTCTAACACTGGATTCTCCTAGAGAAAGTGTCTGCTCATGGCTTAGACAGGCGCACCTTTGCTGGATTATAAACTGGCCAGGCGGCTGGGCCTAGGGAGTGGTGCTCAGTGGAGTTATATCCAGTCAGAAGTGGTCTTCCCAGCACTCACCAAGTCCTGTAATATATCTTTACCAATGATCTGGACAAATACAGACTTGCACCTTAGTCAGTCTGAAGATGATGCCCTGTTGGGCAGAAGCTTTGATTTCCCACTTGAGGGTAGGAAGGCTCTGCATAGAGATCAGGACAGGCTGGATCAGTGGGCTAAGGCCAGGGACATGAGGTTCAACAAGGCCAAATGCCTGTGCTGCACTTGGGTCACAGTGAGCCCGGGCAGCTCCACAGGCTGGGGGAAAATTGTCTGGAAAGCTGCCCAGCAGAAAATCAGCTGGGGATGCTGCTTGACAGCCTCTTGAATATGGGCCAGTGTGTGCCCAGGTGGCCAAGAAAGTCAATGGACTCCTCAAAATCAGGATGCACTCAAAAAGGATGACAACACTAGGTACACAAGCACACAATGCTGCGTACTCACTGCCCATTTAGACACTGTCTTTAGCTCCGTCTGCTTTCCTAATTCTTGTCAACCGATTCAATGCTCTCCTCAAAGTGAAATGGATGAAATTAATATAAACAGATCTTGAATGATGAAAAGAACATTTATCAATCACAGCTTCCCAAATGGCTGGTCTTAAACGATGTATCTTATACCATGTATAAAATATGTTCTTAATTGTATCTTTGATATTGACTTAGCGAAGAACATTAAAGGGCAGGTGTTCAGTAGTAGAAATTTTAGGCATTTCCCTTACACTGAAAGCAGAGAGTAAAAGTTCCATAAATAAACTCCCTATAGTAGATAAACTTCTGATAATTATATACACCACTTCCCATAAATCCTAAAATCCACTCATTCAATAAGTGATATATCAACAAGATATAAAATAATGTAAAACAAACCAGATTATTTCAGGTATCAAGTTTTGAATATCAATTTTTTTTTGCTATTTGCATTCCATTAGATCAGCCTGTGACAAAAAACTGCACTGTAGGACCAATGCAGTGAAAAAAATTCCTGAACCCTTTAAATATGTAGGTAAATATGAAAGTACATATTTAATTAAATATATCCCTCTGATGAATTTGCCATAGGTCTAGGACCCATGTTTATTGGTAAAGAACTGACATCATCTTTTGGTAGAACAAGACTTAAACCATTTGGAGTATTTATAAGATAATTATCTAGTAAAGAGAGAGGTAAAAAGAAAATACAATGGTATCCCCTACCAAACAAAACAACAAGGCAAAAGTGCTGGAAACAAATAGCTAAGACTGATGCCAGCTGGATCAGTTAATTTTTGTCATCTCATTTACATATAACAGTTAATTACTTATAACCAATCCACAGAGTCCTCATCCAACCACATAAAATCAACTTGCAGATCATTCCACACAGCAGGCTGACTGCATGCCAAAAATATAGACACACCTGTGCAAAGGCAGTTTGCTTGTCAGAATAGAATATTCACTCAGTGCCAGAGGAAATTTCAGCCACTTTGCTTTCAGTGCAGCTATGGCATGAACCTTGAGCTAACAGACCTTATTAGATCCAAAGTAGCTTTGTTGCTAGCTATGTTTTCTTTATGTTGCACTCCCTGAAGTCTAAGCGCTAAGCAGCAAAGTACAGAAGTTTCCAGGGTTAGCCTAGTACTGACCCAGGAGTCAGTGAATAGCTTGATTCCTGCTGAAGACATTGAAGTCATCACAGGATACCTGTCTTGAATTCCTTCTTGCCCTACCCTCCTCCTCTCCTGCTCCCTGCCCTGGGTACTTTGCTGCTCTGGATGTTACAGTACACTGGCAGAATTCTGCAAATGAAGAGCTGTGAAATGAAGAACAGGGAGACACCATGCAGAGTCACAGACTCATCTCAAGACCAACTGTGCTTATTAATTCCAGCTTTGTACAGATTTTGCCAATTCACCTGGCTTCAGTCAGAGCAGTTTTCCTGGGCACCCATCTTGCCACGACTCAACTTCCATGTGGCCCCAAATGGGAAGAATGACTTTGTTAAAAGAGACTAATCACACCACTTTAGGTAATCATGTTTATATAGAATCGACAATTGGGAAATACGCTACCTGTACAGCAACGTATTATTTAAATACACACAGCATGCACAGTTATTTTTTACTTTAACAGGGTATGCTTCACAAAACTGAGCATTTATGATGATTGAAAATATGTGAAGAATTAGAACAAAAAACATATAATAGATTAAGACCATTTTATCAGTTCACATTTTTCCTAACCAAAAAGGAAAAAAGAACAAAACCAAAAGTATTGTCTGTATTCTAACAAAAAGCAGGTAAAGGAGGTCCTATAGCCTGTGGAGGATCACAGCTTTCCCATCCATTTATATTCTTTTAATGTACTTAAGTGGAATCCTGGAAATCTATGATGATCATTTACAGGATCAAACTCACACTATTTTACTGAATTACTAATTTTTTTTCCCTCATAAACTGACTAAAACGACTAGCATTATGCCCAGCCAAGTTCAAAGCATCAAATGATTTTTCAACACTTAATAAACTATAACTCATTAGTTGATAATAGCTGTATTAAATAAAATTTATTTTCAATAATTTTTTAAATTTTACATCCTGAAATGTAAGATCCAGTAATTTTCATAATGGTTAGCACGTATTTCTATCCTGAACTTCATATAATGTGAGCACAGTCAGAAATATTACTATTAGAAACATTACTGAAACAGGTTTTTTATTTAGCTACATTGTAAATCACACTATTAGGATGTGCTAAGCAAATGCAAATTTTAATTGAGGATAAGAAAAGAAAACAATCTGCCTTTTTCTTCCAGCCAAATCAGAATACCTTGCCTAGTGGTGAATCTGTAGTGACAATATGCACACATAGCTTTTTAGCTGAATTCTTTGTTTCATAACATCCTAAAATCCCATAAACAGAAACAACACAAGGGAAACAGAATTTATAAAGCAATCTTAATGGACTTTACTTTTATAACTCTTGAAACTATGCTTAACATTTCCCATCTTCAGACACTTGGAAATCCTATTAATCTTATCATAAGGGTTGTGGAGGTGTTTTGGATGTTTGTTTTTTATTTGGGGAATGGGAGACAGAAGGGGATCTGTGTGCTGATTTTGGCTGGGATAGAGTTAATTTCCTTCACAGTAGCTTGCATGGAGCTGTGTTTTGGACTTGTGTTGAGAACAGTGTTGATAACAGAGGGATGTTCTAGTTATTTACAAAGAGTCAAGGCCTTTTCTCGCAGCTCTCCAGCAAGGCAGCTGAAGGTATGCAAGAATTTGGGAAAGGGCACAGTTAGGATAACTGACCCCAACTGACTACAGCAATATTCCAGATGATATGACATCCCGGTTTTTTGCTTCCCAAACACTTTCAATTACCCCAAACACCTGATTTATAAATAATCTTCTATTTAAAATGCTAAGAATTATACTATATAATTTACAAACTGTCCCCATCATTTATGATCATTAAGAAACAAGAGAAATTACCCCTTCGGGATTATATTTTGCTAACACGCCATTGCCATGGAATTCTTCTAAGACATCCTTAATTTTCTTGGTGGAATCTGGATAAAAAAAATAAAGAGAGAGAAATTGAAAATACAGAACACTGATTTACATAATATGAACTGTAATTAAAAAACAACCATCAAAACTGCTAATAGCTTTTCACAATGCACATCAGTAATTTTCTGTAGCTGTATGAGAGCTGTGGGCACAAAGAAAATGAGAACATACTTTACCTTCTTAACAACTACTGTAAAAACCAGCAAGTAAACATAAAATGCCCAGAAAAAAACACTCTTTGATCTAATCCTTAACTGTTAAATAGCATATTTCTGACGGAGTTTTTTTCAGGACTATTTCAAGTCATTTTTCTTGTCCTTGAGTCAACCAGAAAACATGGTCATTTCCACCAGCACTATAAAATCTCCTTTGGCAGAGCTGCCACTGAGTACAGGAGCTGGACAATATCAAGATAAATGGGAATGTTCCAGAAAAAAACTCTTCAGTGGCCACATCACAGAATACAAATGTTGTTCTCAAAACCTCAATTTTTGCTGAACTCTCAGGTATTCTAAAAACTATTAGCTTCAGTAACTTTTTTCTAACAGAACTGTGTAAATCCCCGCAGTTCGGAATCAGGTAGATATGATTTTTCCAATTTTTTTTAACTATGTGCAGAATAGCAAAGCAATTACTTCAGTAAGCTGCCATTACACTAAAGCCTTGAATTCAGATTCACTTAGAACTCATCATGCACATAACCAATTTTTTTCCTCATTTAACATCTCAGTAATAAAAGAAAAATAACTGTAACTCATTTGTTTCTTTAAAATGCAGTAGTACAATGGTCAAACGTGCATAATGGCCACAAGACCATGAACCAGTAATGAGTACCAAAGCAGTGAATAAGAGAATAGGTGAACGTTACATCTGCAATTTTATTTCTACAACAAAACCTGGAAGTAAAGTAGAGAAACAAAGAGCAAACCAAGAACAGGACTCTCTAGAGCAATTATTCAGGCACTTAATACTACAAACATTAGGACCTAAAATGGCTTCTCTTAATTAAATTAACAAAATATGGCATTGTAATAGTTCTTCGACATTAAAGAAATGCGGCATCTTAAACGTGACTCTAAAACATAAGTTTAGCAAATTATGTGACCTGAAAGGGGAAAATGTAGCAGCCGAGGATTTGAACAATAGTTATGTAACAGTTCTGTAACAGTTCATAGCAGCTATAAACAGGATACAACACTAACATTCAGTTTTAAGAGGTGTTGGGAGGAGGTGTTTCTCTCCCACTCTCATACACAGTTTACACAGTAATAGGAATGGCTTTTCCAAACGTTTTTCATTTACCAAATTTTCTTAAAAATATCTGAGACTATGTGTGGCCCCAATAAAATAATTTATTTTCACTAACTGGATATATTTCAATGTTCCTGTCAACTACAGGGAACAGCGTTTAGCAGGTCTCATAAGCAGCCAATGCAAATACTTACTTGATAAAATCATCTATAATTTATTGGTGTGTCATTTGAATTGCAACAAAAAATCACAACTTTATGTAAAAAACAATAAGAATAACAAACAAATAATTAAAATGTTAAGCAACAAATTTTATTATTAGCTGTAATTTAGAAGTTGGTGGGTTAGACAATTACTGACCAGGACAAGGACAGAAACTGATATGACAAAAATTTATTTTTATTTGGTTTCTATTATTTTAATATGTTTTTCAGTATTCATATACAGGGTTGTATATAATAAAATCATTGCATCTTATGACAATGATGGCAGTAACTACAAAAGTAGCAGTGTGAGATGAGCAAATGTATGACAGACACGATTGAGTCTCATCCTAAAAAAGTATAAAGTTTAAACACAAGCATCAAATAGAACAACAGCAAGGTTTCCTCACACATCTTTTATTATCCAAATTAAAAAATGCATAAACAAAATAGAAATTGAGTGCTTTCTAGTGATTTTAAACCAGTGTCTTGAGGTTTTCTTTCAGCAATGGTTACGCTTTCATTGCCTATTTTGCCAGGTAGTCTATTCATGTTTAAATCGGTATTATACCTATGCAACTGTAATTAAAAGCAAAACCTATGTTATGTTACTTACTAGAATTAAATTAAATTCTTGCTTTCCATTTTTTTTCGCATTTTCTTAGTCAAGTATCAAGAAAGAAAATATGCTCTACTTCAACAACAAAACCATTCAACTTTTTCTTGCATGAGTTTAAAACAGAAACATCCAAAAAGCACTGCCCTCATGTTTGAAATTTCTGTCAAGAAAATAAAGGTCTGCAGATGTAAATTCTTCTTTAGGTGTCCAGCAAAACTTTTGAAAAGATTTCCACATTCAGGTCAGGAGCTGTAATTATTTCGAGTACTACAGCCAAGGCAGAATAATTTTTTACAATCTTTTGTTCACAGTCATTCAATCACTTTTTTCAGTTCATGTGACAGTATCCAAGCCTGAACAGAGATCTTTCAAACTGTTCAAAATGAAATATCGATATTTTAAGAAGAATGCCAACACACTATCTTCTGCCTGCACACCCCTTAACAGTGCTGACAACCCTCAGAAAAAATTAATTCTTCTTCCTCAGCCTTGAGTAGGCAAACTAATATTGGGAACATGTTCCAGCTTTAATAAGTTGTCCTAAAGGGATATGAAGAATAGGATAATTTTCTACTCTTTTTCAGGAATCAGATTAAAAAAGCAAAAACCAAAAAGCCAACAAAAAACTGTCCTAGAAAGCTGTATGGAATAGAAACTCCAATAATATGTTATCAACTCCATTTAAAAAATAGTTAAGTACATGCTCTTCGTCAAAAAATAAGCAAAAAAAAAAATTTCCAGAAAATATATACAAAAGTATCTAGAAATTTTTCCTAAGACTGTTTTTTTCTAAAAATAGGAAATAAATAGGAGGTAAAAACAATGGCATGGATTTATTTACAGTTTATCTGATCCAAGTCATCTAAATAATCACTGTAAAATGCTGATGTGAACACAAACATCAGAACAGAACCCACATTCTCTCTATTTCCCAAAAGTACAGATGTTCTGCATGCCTTAGAATCTTAGCACTCCCAAGCAATTTCAGTAAATTCATAAGCACCACTCATGTTAAAACACAAATATGGTTTTAAACTCTTAGCTGTTTTTAAGATCAAGGACAATTTCCTTCTTTGTCTAAGTCTCTGCATTCCAAGGTCTCCTCATGAGAGATGGTTTCCAAATATGTGTATATATAGTATATAGCCTGTCATGGCAGTGCTTAAATCCCATGTTATCTGCAAAGTTATAGCTGGCACAGTACAGATTTAATGTAGCTTGAAATATAATGTTTGTTTCATGAAAAATCTCTCATTTCTTTGCTTTTACAATTATGTTATTTTTATTACCCACTAGGTCAGAGATTTGGGTATTCAGTCAAAATACAGAAGACCTTCAATTCTGTCCCCTGCCTGAACTGACTTCAGCTCTCACTGTTCAACCCATCTTCTGTTGCAATTTGCATTTAGACAAGAGGGTGGAAGGAGAAAAAGGGAAACTTTGGCCCAGGATTCAGAATTTGCCTTGGATGAGGCGAGATGCCATTTCTTACCTCACGCCCCCGTCAGTTTGGGGCAGAATAAATGGGCAAGGCATGGTGTGAAAGGCTGCTAACTGAAAAGCCATTACAAGTACAGGGGAGAAAAGTAGCTGGATTCTACACTGGATGCTGCAGAAATTCTGTTTTAAATTAAGGCTCCAAAATGATATAGATGTGACTTGGGATACAAAATAAAGGCAAACAATTAAAATAATGACACTGGAAATATGAAACCTGCATATATAAAAGCAAAAGTATCAAAGTGTCTTGTTTTTTGCCTAACTATCTCTCAGCCCTGACAAAGATACTTTTTATAACTGAAGACAAATTTACATACTAAGTTTTCAAAATTGTTTGAGGTTTAGCCCACATTAAAAATTGTTATTCACTTTCTAAAGTGACTCAACTTCAGGATGAAGAAAATTGAGCACTCAGTTGAGACTGGAATTTTGTGTACCATTTCTCCTATAATCAGAATACACAAAACATAAGGAAAACTTGCCCAGATCATACATTTTCTCCTCATCTTCATCCTCTTACTTCAAAATGTTTTTTTCCTTAAAAAAGGACTCATAAGACAAGTTACGTAAAACTCACATGCTATGTACACAGAAATGCTTTTCAATTTAAAAGGAAACAAACATTAGAAAAAAATGATTCTGAGTTATAATTCTCAACAGAAAGTCATAACAACCTGCATATTTGTTGGGCCATAACTCATTTTATCACCTACAATATCATATAGAGCAATAACCACTTCTATGTGCATTTGCCTTTTGTAAACCAAACACAATATAGAACACATCACAGGCATACAAAATAAAAAAGCTTCACAGAGGTTTTCTGTACATCTTATTATGACTTAGAAAAGCAAAAGGTCCAGCCACACATATACAATTTCCTGCATGCCAACAAAGCCTCGCACAAACTCAAAAACTCTTCTTGACAGATAAACCAAAGAGAAGCACTGAGAGAAATCCAGCAATCAGTTGGCATTACAATTTTTATACAGCCTCTTATTCTATGGACTTTCTTTTGTAGATACAATACAGTAACACGTGTGTATCTAAATTTACATGCACAACTTTTTTTTTCTTTTTGCCTAGTTCATTTTATTCAGAGAACTGGACAAGGCTTTTACTCAAACTATAGCTGTGCTTCATCTAAAGCTTTATTGGTCTAGAAACTCCAGTAATAAAAAGGCCAAGTCCACCAACAAACCTGTATGCAGCACCATCAAGTAAAACTGTAAAACAGTAAAAACCGTTCACTTTCCTACAAACTGGTTGTTTCAGTAAGGACGTGGCTCATGAAGCATTACTCAGGGCTGCAGCATGTCTGTGTTGGTAAGAGATGCCTGATGGTTGTTACTGAACTGGCAGAGTGCAGGGATTTACATGTTCTCTGCTGCCCATACATATGGCTCACTGCCAATACAGGTTCTCG